GAAAGGAAAAATTCCAAGCAAAATCCTTGGAAGACTGTGAAACGTTTCAAAATAATTAATCTTGAAATTTGAAATACATTCCTTGGTCAAAGGCACTAAGTGGGTGTCTGATATTGGATTCATATTCTATTGGGCTCGCGAAAGACATAAAATTTTCTAATTTAGTTAACTAGTTATATATAAGTTAGTCATATTTGACCATAAAATCAAATTTTTTGCTACATCGCACAAGTTTTGGAGTCTTTATAGTAGTTAGGGTATACTTTGCAGCCATTATCAAATTAAGAAACATTGTTATAATTTTATAAACATTCTATATATTCACTCCATAACTTTCGTTTATTATCGGGAAGTCACATATCATAAACAGGAAAGATTTGATTGTTTGTTTATTTGCATCGAATATCCTCCGAAGCTACTGAACCGATTTTAAATACTCTTTAACCTACGCTCAGATACACATAATCTATACCTACGGGAAGCTGAATCATGCTCTTGTATGCTGTCGCGGGAAAACAGCAGACGTACTCTTGAATGTAATCTCAATGACAATTAAACGTAAACATAATGTAAATAAAATTCGTTTTGTTTTATCATAAACTAATTAAAAAAAAAATACTTTCGTAATTTGCGGTAGCTACTTACTGAATTTGGGATCAATAGGAATAACTATGATAAAACAGTATTACAAATTACAATACTATAATTATTAACAGTATTGCAAAGCAAAAAATGTCACATATATTAGCTCACAAATGTAAAGATCAGTGGTTGGATGTATAAAATAAAATATGGACAACTAATACGCGTTAAATATTTGTACGAATCGATGTTAGGTTTTCATATGTTGGTATTTATCGATATATTTTGGCATCGATATATCGATTCCATATGGGTTTTCCTGTACCATACCTGTATATCGACGTTTACATGAATAGTAGTAGTGTGATTTGATTACTAAGATACTTAGTACACAAAATTACCAAATAAAATATTTATGTAGATTTTACATAATAATATTAACAAAATTTCCACACACACTTAAAGGACCTTTAAATTGTATTGTATATTTGTTTGTTTTAGATGACTCGTTTAACTATCAAAAATAGTAGAACTATTAAATGAAAAATAAAGGGACGTAAAATATTAGTTTTTAAATATCATGGCGCTTCACACAAGTTTAACTTTGCCAAACGTATTCCAATATTTGATTTACGCCCCACAAAGAAACCCTATATCGACTGAACTCATAAATAAGTTATTTGTTCACGCGTCAAAAAATGTGAGAAAGTATATTTACAATAACGGTCTTGTATTTGTAGAGACAGCGCAAATATAATTGTTATTGGTGCTCGATATTGCAATGGTTGGCGTGATTGCTCTGCGATGTAGAAGTTAAGCAACTTTCGCGAGAGCCATAGGATAGGTGATGAAACATTTATTATCTCGAGCTCCTTCGTGATTCTGAAGACTGACAATGAACAACCAAAGAAGGAACGAGGAACAACGAATGAACGCTCTAAGACTGTTTACACTAAAATAATTTAATAGCGAATAGAATAAGCATTCGATCGTTCGGTGCAAATCGGTCTTAATACTATAGAATTGTCATTGTAATGAAATCATACGCATTAAATATATCAATTTTATAGTAAAATGTTCATTTTACCACTCATTTACAAGACCGTTAATATATCTAACAAACTTCTATAAAAGTCGGACGATTAATATTAATTAATGTACGTAAATTTCCCTCATCTGGGTTTATTTTAGTGCTGGTATTCGACATATATCGCAAGTTAAAATAAAGTGCAAAGTTATTGCTAATGCTAGAATAGGACACAGTCGTTGCGTCAACAAAAGATCTTACGAGAAATCACTGTGATGAAAAACTTTTTCAAGTGACTTTCGAATAGGAAAACAATGGCCAAATTTCTATCTCAATATCTATTTAGAGTTGTAGACTAAATATTTTTAATTTATTTTGTAGATTGTCTATAAATAAATTTTTGATATCATAAACAAAGGAAATTAGTCTCGTCTTCCGTGTTATATAAACTGTGAACACATTTGATAAAGAAAAATAAATCAAGTGGAAAAATAAAAAGCAACAAATAATAAATAAATAAAACTGATATGTTCATATAGTTCTGATCATAAAGAAGTGAGAGTTACAAAAAAAATGCCAAGTTAGTAACCATTTATAAATTTTTGTATTATTTGTTTATAAAATTGTTACATAAGTAACCTTATATAGATCAAAAGATAAGTAAGCAGGCAGGTGGATTTGATTATTTTTATATGGAAACCCCTAAACACATAAGAAGTTTCTAAAATAGACCTGAATCCTATTGAACAATAAAAATATCTTCATCAGAATAAAAAAAAAAACAAACAAAATTCATTATTATTTATCCCGTTTAAGTCAGTAGCATTGAGGAACAATGTGTGTGTGGACAGATGTGATATTCTGATAAAAAGAGAATGACGAACGCCGACGACGTTTCAAGCACATGATAAAAGTCACAATTAAAGTATCTGTGACAATAATTATTTGAATTTTGATTCGGTAAAACAATTAGTGCTTAGTTGACACGACAATAACATTAATACAAGGAAAATACCACAAAAAGTATTGATTTAACAAAATAGGTAAATTGACAAAAATACTCCGACATACCAATGAAATGCGTAGAAACGACGTACAAAATAAAATTTAATTATACCTCTGGGACTTAATTAAAATATGTAAAGGACATTTGACCTGATATTTAAAACCCTTAACCTTTATTTGATATTAGAGCAGTCAAATATTGATTGAGTTTTAGGAGAGATATTTCTATTTGTTGGATATTATGTATACACACATATGTATATATACATATTTAGGGCTTTAAACAAAAATGAGATCATTAAACTATTACAGTTTGCTTAAAAATAGAGTCATGTAGGGATAGGAGCACCCACTTTCTGTTTAAATTTTAGGAAAATCACCCCATATGATAAGTTTGAATAACGTGAATCAGATTGGTAATGGTAATGAGACAGATATATATATAAGCGACTGGCATGTCATGCATTGAGTTTACAAAGGTAGAGAAGGCGGAGGTTAGTACTACCATTTTTAAAAATCTATTACTTGTTTACACGCTGCGTACACATTACCTAGATAACTTCACAATTATTTTTTCAGTAACAACGTTCTCATATAGCGAAGTCTTGAAAAATTATCTATAGAATATTTAAGTGTATGAAATATTACACAGTTACTTGTAATATTTGTAATATGTAATATTATATATGTAATTTACATATGAAAATACTGGGAAGAATATAATTATATTATAAGCTAATTATCCATTCAATAAAAAGTGATTAATTTTATATATTATTCATTTGTTCTCGGTAATAACAAAACCATGTTTGATTCAAAACATCAGCATTACATTTTTGTAATTAGGTAATTAAGTATACGTATACTAGCGGACGTGACAAAAAGATAAAGCAGGCAGATGTCGCATGACTTGCATCCGGTGGGCTCCTTCTCATAATTACAGTATATATTTTATTAAAAGAGAAAAAATTTGAACACATGGAGTTTAGATTGAAATATTTTACAATAACTAATTAAATACCAAAAATTTAAATAGTTGTTACAGATATTAATATAACTTCTTCTGTCCCTATTTATCTCATTTCGAATTGATTTTGTCTCATTTTGTTTTTATCTTTAAAACCTAAGGTAAACTTAATTTTATGTCTTAACCTCATTGGCGTGCAAGCTTCTGTGATACTTACGCGGTTAGTATCCATGGTTACTTACTAATGAAAACTGACTCTATTGCTAGTTGTAAATATACTTGTATTGGTATTTACGCTGGGCACAAGATAGTAACAACACAATTAAATATATCGATTGCTCTTAAAATATCTATCCTGCGAAAGGAACAAGCTCGTCTTAGTTTATTTATAAAGAAGTTTAAAGAATTAACTAAAATACGTTAGTAGTCACTAGAAACGTTAATAAAATCTTATCTGGAAGCCCTTATAGATAAGACATCGCTATTTTTATTTCATGATACTGGATCAACAGGAAGTAAATATACAATTCTGAATCTTTACATAGTGCCTGAAGTCTGAACTTTTAAATATTAAAGGCACATAATAACGTTTAATAGTAATTTAGTAACAGTAGTTTCATGATTAAATTTAATAAATCATGTATGGTTTTAAAAACAATGAATTTGTGTAACGATATTAAATATGATTAATAGCCAATAGTTAGCCAATAGCTAGCAAATAGTCAGCCAATAGTTCATTTAAATAAAAGCATTGCATAACTTTATCAAATCAAACGACAAACCTTCACAGTAGGTAGGTAGATACAGTTGTAAGCGAGATACAGCTTTAATATGATCAATCACGGTGTCTGTGTCTACACAGAAATTTGTGGTGTAAGACGATCTCCGTGAGTGCCAATTCTACAGCCCTTAATTGATTTCCTTAATCAGTTCTACCTAGACCAATGTAGATACAAGATATGAAAATGTATGTTATGTATTTTGTACATATTGTCTGTTATAAAGTTTATTTCAACATATCTTTACTAATATAATGAAGAAGAACGAATTGATTGTTTGTTGAATAAGCGCCGACTCTATTAGACCAATTCAAAAAAATTTTTCACCTATGGAAAGCTACATCATACACTTGTGAAATAGGCTAGATAGTTAGTGTATTATATTTATATAGAATAAATAAATGCCTTGGGCGCTTGAAACCGTAAGAAATTACGTCACGAAAGTGACAGTTATCTTAAAACTTAGCAGGAAAGTTCGCACAAACCTTATGCGATCTAGTCTCTAAACGAGTATCAAGACAGTTTTTCACGATAAATAGAACCATAAAAAAACTTTCCGTGATCTGAGAGCAAAACGCAAGCGCGCTTATTAGCAAAGATTTGTCTCGCACCACTCTCAAATAGATAACAGAGTGTAGTCAGTTCGGCATACTCCGCCGGCGTAAACGGTCGGGCGGGCCAGTCTCATTGGCTCTCGAACCGTGTAACTTGGTGAATGTTTATTTACGTAATTTGAAATAAGAAACATAAATAAAATCATAAGTGGTCTCTAATATAATTTGAGAAAATACAAATTATTATAAATAATATAAAATAATTTAAAAGTGACAGTAATTAAGGTAGAGAAAAGATAACTCATTGTTTCAGTATTACTTTTGTATTTATACATTTAATTTTTATAAATTATCTCTCACACATGCGTTGGTCTTGTAAGTACATAAATTAAAAGTTAAATCTTATAAATCACTTAATTGAAACTAATTTAAAGTCTGTAAATATGTTTTACATCCGCTATCAATAATAAAGTACATAGAAGATAGTTTCAGGATTTCTTATTTTATAATAAAAGTTCCTATTAGTAAAACGTATTATTAAAATCTTTTAAACTTTACCTCGATATTTACAGAGCTTAAATATTGTTCTTGATATTTGACAATAGTTTAATATATGTATAACAATAACCATATCTTATTAGTTAACTGATTAAATACAAACTTTAAATATATGTATTTTCATGTCAGAACCGAGTATTCAAACAGCTTGTGACAGGGAAACTTCTAGAAACCTTTATGCTGATATAATTAATCAGTATTAAACTTTTGAAAACTTTCTAATAAATTCAAAATTTGAAAGTAATCTCGTTAGCGTCTTATAGGCAAATATGATTCAATGAATAATATCAAAATGTAGTACATAGTTTCGTGTAAGAAAATCTTATGGTTTTCTCATTGTAATGATATTACTGAATCAACTACTCCCTTTAAATGGATAGATAGTTCAATGTTACATTTGCGTATTTTTTTTTTTTACTAAAAATTTCCAATTAAAAAGAAGTAATGTAGCATGTAAGTGTGCAGCAGGCGTTTCATTAAAAATGCTTACTTTCTAAGCTATGATAAAACAAACATCGAAACATCAATACAAAACAATTATATATGTATACAAATAAAAATATAAAAACTTTATATAATTCTAAAGAAAATAAATGGTTATTAATTCTTGTATACGTAATTTGCGTAATTGAATTGTTCAGAATTCGATCCCGAGACCTCAGGGTTATCGACATCGACGCCTTCTATCTTTTTATATAAGAGAGTTAACTTTAGTACCAGATTTAAACCATTATCTGACCAAAATAAGTCAAGAGGACTCAATTTGACGTGTTCTCTTCAGTCATTGTCATTTTGGCGGCCAATGGTTTAAACTAAGTATTACTATACAACAACAACTATAACTATACAACAACAAGTACAACTATACTAACTTTCCTCGTTTTATAACAAGACCCGGGCCATGATTTTCTAATTTAAAAATCTATCGCAATCCCTGAAACGTAATAAAATAGTGGTTATGATAATGATTTATGGAATTGTGTAACTTTCAAAGTGAACATCCATATTGTAGTACACACGCACTGGTCGCACTACAGACAGCGAATTATATTAAAAATCATATGACGTCATCAGCACGATTCCTACGTCAAAACTGACAATCATATTCTTCTTCTTCTTTTTTTTACATGTAAAATGAAAATGAAATTAATGAAAGATGGCGATAATTCGGATGATTATTCGTCTCATCATATTCTTCATAGAAGCATCTATGAATAATGCGACGGATGATATTGGAAGTCATCGCCATCTTTCATTCGTTTCATTTTCATTTTACATGTAGAAATTTATTTATTCACTTGACATTGGCAGAATTGTGCGAAATGCGCAGATAAGCCATTAATAAAAGAAGAAGAAGAATAATGCGACTGCAGTAGACGTATGACATTGACAAATCAGTGCAGTGCGTTGCGTGTCGTGTGGCCGGTGCGTGCATGCATCAGGCAGTGGACGAGCACCTTTAAAGTCACAATCGCTTTAGGAACACATGATATAAGTAATAAAAAATATTATATTTCGATTGACATTTCTCAATAGCTTTCAAATATATTTTTAAATATTACGTTGCCTAGACAATTCCGATTAACGTTATAATTACTAATAATAATTACCATTACATGTCAAATAGTTGTAGCGTGAAGTTCGTAGTATTTCAATGATAAATTGAAAGTGATCATGAAATATTTTTAAATTATTCAATTAGGCAACAAGCGAAGGAAGTCTTAACGATGAATTAAGCAAAATAAAAAGTAGTCGGTATAACTGAAGATTCGTTTCACTCTACTTTTCTATATAAATACTATTAAAAGACTAATTACTTTATATTAAGTATTCGAATATTTGGCGGTTATTTTATTTAGATTGGCCCATGAAATTTAATTTCGAATTTATGGTTATAATATTGCAATTTCATTGAAAGTAGACAAAATGTAAAATTATCATAATTACAATTTATGCGCATTCCATTAACGAATGAAACTGTGACGAACCTGTCCCTAGAAAACACACTTTCCTTTGTTGACAGAGTTTCATTAAAAAAAAGAAACAAGCTTATAATTACTTGAGATGATTTTATTAAAGTGTTGACTGGATATCATTTAGGTATTTAGGGATGTTTTAGTTAAAATAGTTTGTTTTATTAATGAATAAAAATTTTAAACTGATATCTGTAATAATCTAAACATTACTTCAAATACAATCTCGCGAATTTTGTTTATTAAGAAAGTTTATTGATAGTTAGATATAATAGATGGATAGATATACTAGACAATATCACTTACATTGATCAGATGCCAAGATGAGTAGCTTATGCCACCGTATCTGAGACAACGAAGGTGCCACAATACCCAGAATATAGAAGATTCATTTTATACATTGACCTGACCGATAATATAACCCGGAACCTCAGTGATAACAATACCTTAAAACCGGCGTGCGAAACACTCGACTACGGAATTTCTTAAGTTGAATGAACAAAGGACTTTAAATGTAATTAGGTATAACGATAATAATTACTATAGTTACTATTATTATCGTTATTTACATACTTACAGGTTGCCTGGAAGATGACCCTGTGGCATTTGTCCGCCATTTTTGTTTAGTTTAAGTAAAAAAATAATAAATAATTTGCGTCATTTTCAAGGTTTTGGCCATCTCCAAAGTCCCTAATTCGATTGATTCCCGCCCGGGACAATGTAGAATAAGGACGTGGATAGTTGAGCTGTCAGCCTGATAGATCATTCAGGGTTTTATTCTGACACATCAATTAGGGACTCGGTAGAGCCGTTTAGTAGGGCCACCTTTTTATTTTGCTTATGTTATTATAACGAACTCCGTAGCCAATTGGCTGGCACGCCGGTTTCAAGGTTAATCAAGAAGGTGGACTTTTATTTATCCATACCATAATACCAGAGCTTTATCTTTTGTTTTGTAATTTTAGCGATAGATTTGTTGAAAGTATATACTGTACATAAAATATTGTTTACTACTAGCTGACCCGACAAATTTTGTGCCATCATATCCTTGTTTTTATAAAATTTCTTATATATAAACCATCTCCTGACAATAAGCAACGCATTAAAAAAGAATCATCCAATTTGGTGCAGTCGTTCGGAAGTTATGCGCGTTAGGATGTCCCAAGCTATAAGAGCAAAAATTTGTTGCGATATCAGATACGCATACCCATAATAATTCTTCATACGTTGCTTGGCTGCCGAAATGCACTGAATTCAAGGCTTGACATAGGTTGAAACGATGAATAGGCAGATAATCAACAGTTTTTTTATTCGTCTTTTCTAGTAATTTCGCATTCCGAGCTATGTAATAATATTTTTAGGGTGTAGTCGTTCTAGCCATCCATTGAGCTTGGTACCTGGCATTTGAGGGTCGATTTCAGGGTTGATTTTCCTCCTTCACTCCTGGCTAAAAATATAACTGAGAACACTATTTACTCACAATAATCTTCTCTGATAACAGTTTTGATCAGGTTCAAAGAATGAAAGCAGGTCCTTTATTTCACTTAGTGTTTTATGGACTCTATACCGGTCGACCAGTCTCTTTCTGTCATAAAGAAAGATCTTATCTTCCTTTTCATAATCAATGCATCGGCATGATCAAATTCTCAAATAGATTATCCAAACCGGTAACAAACGCTCTTTCATGGTGTTTTAAATATATTTTATTATTATATTGCATTTTTTTGCAACTTGATATAAATTAATAAGTGTTTTAAACAGTTTGGCTGTGATTTAATAAGCATCGCGCTTTAATCCAAAATAATATTATATCGCGAATAATAAGACTTGCACTTTTAAATTCACCTTGCGGATATTACAAAACTACATACCACTGAAATGCGCGTGCTACACTCAGCGGCTGGAGTCACATTTAAAGATAAGGTTTGAAATGAATACATACGAGGATGAATGCATAGAGCCCATGATCATATGGTAAAAAAGTGCCTTTCCATTACAACGCGAAGAGGGAGGGGTAGACCGCAGACTACAAGGATGTCGAAGATAAAAAATGACATGAAAGAGCATGGACTTGTTATAGAAGATATCGTTTTCCAGCTAAATGAGTGACGCCTCAAGATTAAGAAAGCCCACCCCGCATACTGGGAAAAGGCGAGGCATAAAAAGGAAGATATTATAAAACAATACTGCTAGAACTAGTTTGTTAGAAGGAAGCCTTACCAATTAAATAAATTTGATATTTTTCTTTTTAATTTTACACGCACTGAAGTATGCAAGTCCTTGAGAGCTTAGTATTCAAGTACTGACTTTCTTTCAGTCTAAATCGGCACGGGTTGTTGATATCCGAAGTTAGTGAAATTTATTTTAGAGTAATTTTAGGAACAATCGAAAAAATAAGAGGGTATGCTGAAAAAACACTTTATTTTGAAAACGTTCTACTGATGGAGTGTTAAATTACGCAATATACAAATTAAAGATAGAAAGTAATCGAAATTAAAATTTCGAACACAATAAAAAAGGTTTGAGAATATTCTACCCGAATATACCTAGTTTGTTTTTACAAAATTTCATTGAACAAAACAAGCTTTATCTTTAAATGAATATATCGAAGCGATAATGTAGATCA